ACTTCTTCGTCCCACCTAAAAGCCAAACCGCGCGTCAATCCAAGAGGAAGTGGCATGACGCCCGACTGCTGCTGCAGTCACGGTCGCGTCATCACAGCCATCCTTGAATGCTACCTCCTCGTTGCGCGCGCAAGATAGCGGGCCCGCCTTTACTTCTTTGGCTGCCGTCGTCGCCGCATTCTCTACCGTAAGATCCGATCGCAGGTGCAGCAGATGGATCTCGCCAGTGGCGGTGCCGCACGAAAGCCACGCACCGTCGTCCGAAAACGCAAGGTTGGTGACGGCTGCGCTGCGATACGAGCCTGCATTCACCGCGCTTGTCGCGGAAGGCGTGCTCGCCCACCCCGCTGCAGATGGGACGGATCGCAAATACACCACTGCCACTGGGGAAAACGAGTTCCGCGATAAATCCCACGCAGCGACGCGGCCGTTGCTTTCCCCCGCAACAAACACCGCCGGGTGGGTCGGAGACCATCGCAAGCAGTTCACCTGCGAGGTGAATCCATCAATGGCGATACGCCGGGAGCCCAACCAGAGACTACAACTCCCGTCAGCAGCAGCGGTCAACACGGTATCGCTAATGCGGGGGTCGGCATGGAGCGGGTGAGGTGCCACCGCGACAACAGTGGCGTGATGCGCGGGGCCATCAACGGATGTTCTTGGCGTCGAATTGGAACGCGGCAACACGTCGTTTGTGATACTGAAGGCCGGCATGACATTGATTGGAGACATCTCCACGAGACTCGAACTTTTCGTACGCCCCTCCAGTACGCGACCGTCAAGGCAGCCAACAACAACTTTGCTCATCGCATCGGCCGCCTTATCAACGAATGCAGCGCAAGACCCGATGCATCCAATTGGCTGTCCTAACACCATCCCGTCACGACTCGACGTAGGCAGCCCCAACTGTAGCGGCGCCCACATGCAAACACGTCCATCTTGACTGATAGTGTAAAGATGGTGATAGTTGACATCACCGTGAACTGCCATGCCAATCACACGAGACTGATGCGTATGTGGTGATGGAAATGACCGTTCGCTCGGTGCCACAGCGGTAATACTCCCAGCAGGCAACGGCATTAAAGACGGAGCTACCGAGAAACGCTCCAAACCATTCGCAATCACAGCACAAGAGTGTCCCTGCAAAGCATGATCAATCCTCCACCCAACCACACAGCCGTTCGCAGCGCCACCAAACAATAAATGTTGTCGATGTCGTGTGTAACTCAAAACGCGTATTTCACTGTCAAAACACAGGGGTATAACACTGTAACTAGCATCACCAGTTTTACCGCGAGAGATGCACCAAAGAAGCACAAGACCACGAAGCTCACCGACAACCTCCGCCACGGCTGCTGCGGTCGTTGCTGTGGAGGTGGACAACGGTAGTGGTAACAGTGACTGTGCGTCAATCCCACGCCCAGAGTGCAATTTGGGGGCACTGTCGCTCTGTTCATCCGCTTGATGCGGCTCTGAAAGGGCAAAAGCAACAAGAAAGCCGCTGTAATCGTCACTCACACCTGTGTTTCCACCAGAAATCTTGGGGTCCAGCATGACAACATCCAACACACAGCGGTCCTTGCAGTTGCAAAACGACTCTGCACGCAACGAATGTGCCAGCAGCATTGCGACGTCAGGCGGGGGCACAACACGTTGCTGTCCGCTCGCCTCACAATCCTGAGTTCGTTCTGTGGCGCACGCACCTGCATCCTCCACCTCAACGGCCGACAAAACACCCACAACGGAGGCAGTCATCGTGCCATCTTGAACGCTATGGTCATTTTCCCCCTCCTCTACAGTTGGCTTCAGCGCAAAAGCCCCAACGCCCACCTCCACCTTCCACGCACTGCCTTCCCCTCCCACCGCCTCGGTAGTGCCACTCCCCGTGCCACGACGGTTGACTTTGGAACGCAAATCACCAGAAGAAATCCTTGTAGACAGTGTAACCGGTGGTCGTCTTGACGCTGCGGCCGACGTCGTCCTTGGATCCCCCGTCTGCTGCTCGTCCCGCAAACTCACCGCCGACAACGTCGAGGCCACACGATTCAAAGGATCCCCGCCCACGGACGACGCCATCGACGATTGCGGAGTGCCGCTGCGCGCAAGGGATGAGGAAGACACATGATGTTGGCTGCCCTTCTTCTGTTGCTGCTGGAGCTGCTGCTGAACAGAACGCTGCTTTGCCTCCCGCGCCGCGCGAATTTCATCCAACTGTCGACGCTTCTCCGCCAAATCCATCCCGCCTTCTCTTTTTTCGTTGTTGTTGTTGTTGTTGTTTCTCCGCCTCTACTCGTCCACCCGCAGCCGTCCGCCCCCCTATACACTCGCCCTTATGCCTCTGAGAAAGGCCTCCACAATTGTTCCTCATCCACCCACCATCGCGGCAACGGTCGCGTGACACCGTACCCACCACAAAATAAAGCCAAAAAAAAAAAAAAAAAAAAAAAAAGAAAACAGCATAATACAACAACAGATTAATCCTCTGGGCCTCTCGTCGAATCCTGTAGTTTTTCAATAATAAAAACCGAATCAGATATGAATAAAAAAAGGGATGAATGGAAAAAGAATGGATTCACCATACCCTCAAAGCCTAACACCTAGTAAGTCTATAAATACATATAAATATATCACCCATTAGCCATAATTGTGGCCCACTCGCTCTATTCGGATGGGATACATATATATATATATATATATACGTATATTGATTACTTACGAGGTAGCGGACTTTGGGACCCCTCCAGCCACAACAACCCCGCCGCGAGCGGTGGGAATCAAAAAAAAAAAGGGGCCGGCGGAATGGTAAAATTCAAAAAAAATAATAAGAAAAAATAAAAAATTGTCCGGCCGCTATCGGTTCCCTGCTCCCTCCCCTAATAGTCGCGTGCGTCCCAAAATTCATACGATAGAAAAGTGTCGTAAATAAATTTATATTCCTTTTAACAGGAAATATACGTACATTTATACATATATAAATGTACATTCATTAGGGCTAGCCAGCTTTCCGGTGAACATACTCTTCACAAGCTCCTGACAAGCACGCAAACACTAAACCCGTATCCATAAAACCAAAAAAAAAAAAAAAAAGACGCTTTCACCATAAAAATTATTCAACGCGACAAATACAAATGCAAAAGAAAAAAAAAAAAAAAAAAAGGAACGAGCCACAACATCTAAAGTCAAATACATACCATTAAAACACAGCAAAACAAACACACATAACAGCAGCGAAAATAAATAAACGGATAAATCAGGAATACAAAAAAAAGACAATAACAACAACAAAAAAAAAAAAAAACGCGAATCAATCTAGGTACAAGCAATACAATACAGAATCTATATATATATAATTCCTTAATCCAAACATCCAAATCAAAAAATAGCAACAAATAAATAAACAATACGCATACACACAATCATCATCTATTGAGCATTATTCTCCTTTCCAAATAAACCACGAGCACCTAATAATTTCTTCGTCACAGAAAACTCATTTCCAGCATTCCCCGCAGAACCATCCGTAAAAGAAAGACGATCATGTCTAACACGTAGACGTACATCATTTTCCGCACTCTTCCGTTGAAGATTAACATACGCATCCCTCAACTTACGACGACTTCTCTCCAACTTACTTATACCCAACACGGCTTCGTTACGCTCAGCGGTCACGGACTCGAGGTTCCTCTCCACCTCGGCCTTCGCGTCCTCCGTGGCCCGCAGGTTTTCGGCAAGCTCCTCGCGTTCAGCGGTCACGGAATCAAGGTTCCTCTCCACCTCGGCCTTCGCGTCCTCCGTGGCCCGCAGGTTCTCGGCAAGCTCCTCGCGCTCAGCGGTCACGGACTCAAGGTTCCTCTCCACCTCGGCCTTCGCGTCCTCCGTGGCCCGCAGGTTCTCGGCAAGCTCCTCGCGCTCAGCGGTCACGGACTCAAGGTTCCTCTCCACCTCGGCCTTCGCGTCCTCCGTGGCCCGCAGGTTTTCGGCAAGCTCCTCGCGTTCAGCGGTCACGGACTCGAGGTTCCTCTCCACCTCGGCCTTCGCGTCCTCCGTGGCCCGCAGGTTTTCGGCAAGCTCCTCGCGTTCAGCGGTCACGGACTCAAGGTTCCTCTCCACCTCGGCCTTCGCGTCCTCCGTGGCCCGCAGGTTCTCGGCAAGCTCCTCGCGCTCAGCGGTCACGGACTCAAGGTTCCTCTCCACCTCGGCCTTCGCGTCCTCCGTGGCCCGCAGGTTTTCGGCAAGCTCCTCGCGTTCAGCGGTCACGGACTCAAGGTTCCTCTCCACCTCGGCCTTCGCGTCCTCCGTGGCCCGCAGGTTCTCGGCAAGCTCCTCGCGCTCAGCGGTCACGGACTCAAGGTTCCTCTCCACCTCGGCCTTCGCGTCCTCCGTGGCCCGCAGGTTTTCGGCAAGCTCCTCGCGTTCAGCGGTCACGGACTCAAGGTTCCTCTCCACCTCGGCCTTCGCGTCCTCCGTGGCCCGCAGGTTTTCGGCAAGCTCCTCGCGCTCAGCGGTCACGGACTCAAGGTTCCTCTCCACCTCGGCCTTCGCGTCCTCCGTGGCCCGCAGGTTCTCGGCAAGCTCCTCGCGTTCGGCGGTCACGGACTCAAGGTTCCTCTCCACCTCGGCCTTCGCGTCCTCCGTGGCCCGCAGGTTTTCGGCAAGCTCCTCGCGCTCAGCGGTCACGGACTCAAGGTTCCTCTCCACCTCGGCCTTCGCGTCCTCCGTGGCCCGCAGGTTTTCGGCAAGCTCCTCGCGCTCAGCGGTCACGGACTCGAGGTCCTCTCCACCTCG